TGTTTCCTATTGCTTTATATTCCCACTAGTGTACATTAGCATTTTCTCTGTACTGGGATGGAAAAAATGCTAAAATATAAAAAGTTGCTTAAAATTGGCAATAAGAATTGCTGTAAGATATAAACAAGGTAGGTTTACCATTTTTTGAGCAGAAGAAGATTTAAAATGGAATTTGATTTATTTGAAATATGCATGTTTATTGCATTTCTTCAATGAAAAAAAATAAAGGGAAAATGAAGATAACAAAATTAGTATTCATGTAAAACACCTATTCTTTTAGACAAGTTGCTTGGTTATGAATAATCAGAGTGAGGCAGCATCTGCAAGCTGTTGCTGCTGAGGTGGAAAGTGTATCAAGGAATGGATGAGCAGCCAGCCAAGGTTCTGCATTCGGATGCTTTTCACAGAGCACAGGTGTGGGGGCAGTGAGCCCTGGCCAGATTGGCTCAGCGGTTAGAGTATCAATCCTCAGACTGAAAGGTTGTGGACTCAATTCCCAGTTAAGGGCGTGTATCTGGATTACAGGTTTGATCCCCCGTGTCCCCCCTCCCCGCCCCGTTGGAGTCGGTTGGTGTTGTGTGGGAGGCAACCAGTCTGTCTGTCCCTCCCTCTCCCCCCTCTCTCCATCCCTCCCTCTCTCTCTTCCACTCTCTAAATATCAGTGGAATAATATCCTGTGGTGAGGATTAACAACAAAAAAGTGTGGGGTAAGGAGCAATTGACAGGCCATCTCACACTTTCCTAGCAAGAATAGAATTTATGGAATCATTTGGATTGGAAAAGAAATGACAAGGGGGTACTCTTGACCATCTCTACTAAATGAGGTGATGGTTTAGCTGAAGAAAGGATGTGATTGGATGTTTTGCTCCTGAGAGACAAGGTTCAGATTAAGTATGACCTGCTTTGTAATTCCATTTACATGACCAGAGTACTTTCCATTGGGCTTTCCACATTGGTGTGCAGCACCAAGATTTGAGGTCAGAGGGGTTGGATTGTCCACTCTGACTTTGGGTAAATTACTAAACTTGTCTGAACCTCAATTTAGAGGATATTTTACCAACTTCATAGGGTTATAAGATTAAGGAAGAATTAAGATAGTTTAGAATTTTTTTGTTCAACGTAATTTATGAATGATAAACTTTATAGGAATGTCTGTGAAGGCAGACAGGAATATCTTATGTACTTTGTTGTCCTCTCGGTATATGCCTTATGATAGAAACCTAGCTGTTCTTTGTGTTTTATACCAGCACTTAACACCTTACAGAGTAGATCTTCAATTATGTTGACTGTTGAAATAAAGTAGGGAGTTGGTAGAAGACAGAAGCATAATTCCTATTCTAGGGAAAGTACCTAAAGACAGTCTCTGAGTCTCCAGTAATATTCAAGGATTTAGGCTACATAGGAAAGGTAACTGCAAAAGGGTGGCCGTGTGGTGGTGGTAGGGACTTTCTTTTTTAATCCTCACCTGAGGATATGTTGAGAAAGAGAAAAACATTGGTTGCTCCCTGTACTCTTTCCCAACGCGACATCAAACCCACAACATAGGTGTGTGCCCTGACCTGGAATTGAACTCGCAAAACTTTTTTGGCATTTGGGAGGATGCTCCAACCAACTGAACCACCCTGCCAGAGCTGGGAAGGATGTTCTTGAACTAGTGGAGAGCAGACCCTTGGTGAAGTTTTGCCTGAGGGCTAGAAATCAAGCTTATTTAGCTGGTAAAGGGTTAGTAACTTTCTAAGCCTAAATTTGCATATTCCAAATTCTGTCCTTCACACTCATTCTAAACACCCACAGATTTGTGTATCCATATCTGCCTACACATTTCTATTATCTTTCTAAAACCACTTCAGTCTACCTGTTATGTTAGTCACACCACAATTTTACGTAACTTGACAATTTTACAAAGAAATCCAAATGAAAAAACAGCAACAATATACCCAAGGCTATAATTTCACAGTTCAGTAATATATTATCTGCATTAAAAGGTCATGGATTACCTTGTTTATTTGCAAATGCAAAGAGCTTTCCAACGAGTGGAATAGCATTTTGAGCTTGCTGAGCAAAGGTGCCATGTAAATGCAAAATGGAACATAAGTATCACCCTGGCAGAGAACAGTCTTAGGAATCTTCCTTATTGGGTGACCATAAACTTAAATGGCCTTATTCCTAACTGGGAATGTAAGATGGAATGAAGTGAAGGGATGAGCCCAAGATTCAGCCCAAAAATGGCTTTTCCCTTGAAAATTTTGCATTTAGACTCCAGGAAAATGAAGTGTTTGTGGCAGATCCCATTGACAGCTGCTCAACAGAGATCCCCTTTTCTATTCCTTGATTTTAACTGGTAGTAACTGTGTCTAGTCCCTGGGGAGGAACTATGATCAAGTTAGATACAGCAATTCCAGTCTTCTTTGCTAGGTACTTGAATAAACTCCCAGCTTCTCAGTTCTGGCCATTGAGATTAAGAGAAAGTCTGCTGGGTTCTTCTGAGAATTATTTTATTTTACAATAAGAAAAACAAAGCCTGGCCAGTATGGCTAAGTGGATAGAGCATCGTCCCATGAACAGGCCTGGGTTTCAGGCTGGATCCTCAGTAGGGGGCGTGCAGGAGGCAGCTGATGGATGTTTCTCACATCCATGTTTCTATCTCCCCTTCCTTTCTAAAAAATCAATAAAAATATTTTAAAAAGAAAAGACAAAGGAAGAGAGTTCCTCCCTTCCTGCTTGAATGAGGACTTAATATTTGGTGAATCAGGAGCCATTTTGTATCCAAGAAGGAAAGGCCAAGAGAATCTGAGACGACAGACCAGATCCCTATCACTGAACTGCTCAAGGACCCTTGGAACCGAGTAGTTTCAAAGTTGTTCTGTAAATAGTAGCTGTCTTCATGGTGCCTTTTCCCAGTAAGGGAAGGAGGTTCTGTTAAACTGACCTTTAACAGAAGGGATTGCCTTGGGAACAGCCCCAAGCCAGTATAACTGGAATGTGGCAGTTCATCTCAGGACAGTTCCTGGAACCCTTGCTCTTGAGAGCAGGTTGCTCTCAAAACTAAGGCACTGGCATAATGGTTATACACATGATTTCTGTCTTTCCCAGTTCACACAATGAAGACACCTTTCATTTGTTCATTCAGAAAGTCAGTCAGTGAACCAACATTTATTCAGGACCTTGTAAATCCCGGGTACCACCATGTGCTGGGTGCTAAAGGTATAAGCTAGGGTCCCTGCCCTCCTGGAGACAGACATGAAACATATTCTGCCAGAAAATAGTGACACTTGAGTGCTGCCAAGGGTGCCCTGAGAGTAGCTGGGAAATAGGGGTGTGGATGGCAGCAGTGGTCAGAGGAAGCTTCCTCAAGGGAGGAATAAGTAAACTAGCGACCATCAATTCCTTCAGGATTCTTCAGTTGAGAAGTGAAGAGAGCAGTAGGGGTGGTACAGGAGGAGACACCAAGAAACGGAGGCACTAGAAATGTTGGAACTTGGCAATTAATCGATGTGGAAGACAGTGGTGGGAGTCAAGAATGGGCTACTGGGTGATGGAGGCACATTCATTAGTATGGTCAATTGCAAAAAAAAAAGGATCCATTCTGTACTCCTCTCTGTATCCTTTTAAATGTGTCTCTGAAGCTCCCTCCACCAAAGAGTGGAGTGTATTTCCCCACCCCTTGAATTTGAACTGGCACTGTGACTTGCTTTGGCCAACAAAAAGCAGCAGAGGTGATGGGTTCCACCTCTAGGCTTTGGTCTCAAGAGGCCTTTTCCACTTCCAGTCACTCTCTTGAAACCCTTCTCAGCCACCGTGAGAATGAGCCCTGGCCAGCCTGCTGAATGAGAAGAGACATGTGACTCAGTGACTGACAGCCAGCTGCAGGATGACGCCAGTTCCTCAACCCCTGCCAGTGCTCTGCCCATGCAGAAAGAGCCAGCCAAGATCAGCTGAGCCTGGCCTAGACTAGGATAACCACTCCACTAACCTCCGGACATGTGAGCAACTATGAGGGGTTATTGTTTTAACCCAATTGGTTTTGTGTGTTTTTTTTCATGTAGCAAAAGCTAATACAACCAGGATAGAGGGAGGGGTGAGTAAGGGTGGGACTGTCTAATAGACAGTTGGACATATGAAGCTGGAATACAGGAGGCCAGAAGCATAAGGTCTTCTAACCTGCAAGGATAAACTCTCACAGCTTTGCCTTGACAGGGTGGGCCCAGAAACCCACGACCAGACCATATTTCTCTTTTGTGTTCTCTTCCTCCCACTCCCCACCTCCACCCTAAACTCCGCTTGACTTGAATAGTGAAGCACATGTATGACTCAAGTGCATAGGTCCTGAGCCAAGCTCCCAGCAGCGGAATGCTTATTGAGTGTTCTCTAATGAGTCAGTGCAACCAGTGCCAGCTAAGGTGCAAACACTTACTGCCCCCAGGGGTCTCCATAGATCTGGAGCCAGGTCACAGTGACTGCAGTGCCCTAATGCGGCTACCAACTCTGGACTCTTCCCCCTCCCTCCCTTTTCCCTAATGTTGTCACTCTTCAGCACCTTTTGAAAATAAAAGGCAACATCTACCTCCCACTGTTGCAGAAACATCCGACTGACTGCACTTTTCCTTCTTGCTTTCATCTCCCAGCTCCTAACTCTGATCTCAGGTTCACCCACTAGTCTATTGACTCAGGATCGCCTCTGCGGGGTGGAGGAGGCCACCTGGGCTCTGCAGGCACAATCTGGTGAGAGAGCTCCCCTGAGCTCGAGGGATAGTTGCTGTATTTCTGGGGGCCGTGAGCCGCGCGGGTTCCCCGGCAGAGCGCGTCTGGCGACGAGGCAGTTGCGCACGTCCGCGGGGATGGTCCCCCGCTCTCCCCGCTCCCGCCCTGTCCGCCGCCGCGGGGAGGGTGCGGAAGAGGAGGAGCTGGAGGCGGCCGCTGTGCCCCTCAGCGCGCGGAGTCCTTTAAAAGCCGCCAGCGGTGACAGCTCCGCAGTCTGTCTGGTCCCCCGGCCCCGAGTCCTCGCTCCCCGCGCGCCAGTCGCCCCGCTGCGGTCGAGGCCCCGCTGGGTAGGCTTGTGCTCTGGCGGCCAGACGCGCTCCATGCGGCCGCCCAGCATGTCCGGGCACTTTCTGCTCGCGCCCATCCCCGAGTCCTCCTCCGACTACCTCCTGCCCAGGGACATCAAACTGGCGGTACTGGGCGCCGGCAGCGTGGGCAAGAGTGGTGAGTGCTTAGGGAACCGTGGGGGGCGGCGCCCACCCTGGGTGGGGCTCGGTCACCGGGGCGCTGGGGAAGAGCGGGAGGAGGACAGGGCACGGGGAGGAGGACAGGCACGGGGAGGAGGACGGGGCACGGGGAGGAGGACGGGGCACGGGGAGGAGGACAGGCACGGGGAGGAGGACGGGGCACGGGGAGGAGGACGGGGCACGGGGAGGAGGACGGGGCACGGGGAGGAGGACAGGCACGGGGAGGAGGACGGGGCACGGGGAGGAAGCAGACATCCCCTCCGTCCTGGCCCCCTGCTTCCCGGAGCATCCACTCATGGGCTGTCCCCAGTTTCGGCACTTGTTGGAGGACGCTGGCTGGTGCCGCAGGTCGAATACCTGCAGTCATCCCCGCCACCTACGGCATGGAGACCAGGACCGCCGCTCCTGGAATTTGCAGCGTCTGCGGCCCATTCCTCCCTCTTTTTCCGCAAGAGTGTCGGGGTTTGACGGTCTTGTCCGAGCCCTGCAGCTGATTTTACTATTTCATTTTCAGCAATGATCGTGCGCTTCCTGACCAAGAGATTCATTGGCGATTATGAACCGAATACAGGTTAGAATAATTACGTGCCCCCTGCTTTTGTGGCTGCATGCTCCGATTTTCTTTGTCCTGCTGAGAGTGTAAGAATTTAAAAGCAGACTCTCCTTCATTCTCCAGGCAAGTTGTACTCACGGCTTGTTTGTATTGAGGGAGACCAGCTGTCCCTGCAGATCCAGGACACCCCCGGGGGAATCCAGGTAAGGATTGTTGGACTTCCCTTCAGACACCGAGGGTGCTCGGAAGCGTGAGCAACATGTCTCAACACGCCTGTTGCACCCTTAGATGGAACAGTGGGCTGTGCCCAGGAGGGGCCGGTCAGGGGGTGTTAGAAACCCTCCCAGGGGGCGAGGACGGGATGGTTAGAGGCAGCTTCCCCTTCTGCGCAATCTCGGAGGGGGGAGGCGCATAACTTCTCTTTACACAGCTGTGAGGGCATGGCCACTGGCATGGGTCTCACCACCTCTTCAGAGCTGGCCATGGGACCATTAACAAAACTGGGTGGGATTCTGGAGAGAGCCTTCTCCCCCAGCAGGGACTGCCCAAGGTTTCTGTTTCTAGCTGTTCCCCAAGTCACAAATTGCAGTCAGATACTCTTGGCACCTGGTCAGGAATGTAACTTGATTAACAAGTTACTAATTGCTCTCCCTTCTAGGGAGGAAAAGTCTTGTGGAAGGACAGAAAGAAAGAATTTGTCTCTGGAACATTCTCAAGAAGGACATGCTAAAAATATTTTTATGGGTTTTGGGAAAAGATGTTTATCTTGGCTTATTTTCAAAGTTTTGCTTTTTCTGAGTTTGTTCCCTAAAATTGCGACATTTTGATTTGAAAGTTCTCATTGAAGTCATTCTTCAGTCAGCCTGAGTCCACCACACACTGCCTGCCAGGCTAGGAGGTTAAAAACAATGCCCTGGTAATAGCTAATAAAGTAACCCAGGCAGGGAGCTGGCCTGAGAATTTGCTCTTTCTGCACTAAAAGCCTCCTTCTGCAGAAGCTGGACAGAATCTGAAAACTATATTTAGTGATTTCTTTTTCAACCACTGCTCAAGGGTTACTGTGATGTTATTTTGACTCCTCTCCCACTGAGGGCTTCCTTGACAGACTCCCTTTGATCTTCTCAGGTCCAAGACAACCTCATGCAGGTGGTTGACTCCCTGTCCAAATGTGTGCAGTGGGCAGAGGGCTTTCTGCTGGTCTATTCCATCACAGACTACGACAGCTACCAGTCCATCCGCCCCCTTTACCAGCACATCCGGAAGGTCCACCCAGACTCGAAGGCCCCTGTCATCATCGTGGGCAACAAGGGGGACCTTCTGCATGCCCGGCAGGTGCAGACCAACGATGGTGTTCAACTAGCCAATGAGCTGGGAAGCCTGTTCCTTGAAATTTCCACCAGTGAAAACTACGAAGATGTCTGCGATGTATTTCAACATCTCTGCAAAGAAGTGAGCAAACTGCACAGCCTTAGCGGGGAGAGGAGAAGGGCCTCTATCATTCCTCGGCCACGCTCTCCCAACATGCAAGACCTGAAGCGGCGCTTCAAGCAGGCCCTGTCTTCCAAAGTCAAAGCCCCCTCCCCACTGGGGTAAACCCACCTCAGACAGACTGCCTCCTTTTTACTGTGCATTCGTGCAGCTGAGAAGACTGGAGGGGAGGGGGGCTCTCCCTTTTTAACCACATTCAGAGTTTATTTTTATACAAACTATTGATTTGCCAGTGTATGTGTACTTCTGAAAATTCAATGATTGCCCAGAAGTTGAAGAGTTTTTTAATAAAACTTTTTTTTTTACTGTAACTGCTAACCACCTTTCCATTAAAGGCAAAATGGCAACATTTCGCCTTGTTTCTTAAATGTCTTTTTATAGAAATCATACTTGCACCAGAGCCCAGAACTGCTCCATGCTTGCCCTCAGTCTGAACTCTGATTGGTGTCTCTCTGTTGGGAGGGGTTTAAGTGGAGGGAATATGTTGTGGGAGAAAGAAAACTATGTGGAGGAGGAAAGAGATTTGAATAACTGCAGGATGTCTTTAATTAGGGCACTTTGCCACAGGCATGACATTGACATCATATGATTTTAACAGTGCACTGATGCTAAAAATTATAAACATGAATAACATTATTATTTATTGGTACAAATGGAAGTTTATCCTCCCACCCTTATTTAAAAAGCAACAGCAAAAAAAAAACAAAAAACCTTTCCCAGTATTTCTTATGTCAATAAGTACATTGTATCATCTAGGAGTTGCCTAAAAGTTCTCCTTCCCTCTGTCTCCCTGACCCTCACCTTCAATAGAGTATCCAATCTGTCAATTTTTTTCTATTTTTCTCTAAAGCATCACTCTGCCTTAATTCAGGTCTTTATCAGTGTAGGAAGGATCCATGCAAGACTGATTTCTTGGCTTCTGGAATGAATGACCTGTCTAATTCTTTCTTCCCACCAGAACAACCTTACTAAAACCAACCCTAATCATTTTATTTCCATGATTGCAAAACCTCAGCTGGTTTCCCCTTATTTAGTGGATAAAATATAAAGAAAGAATGGCATCAAGATTATTCACCACCTCTCCGGCTTCATCATCACCTTCTGCCAACACACACACACACACACACACACACACACACAGCCCTCCATTCCAGTAGACTGGTCTGCCTTTCTCAGTATACACCAGGCTTTCACACCTCCCTGCCTCGGCATAAACTATTCCCTCTGCTTTGAATATTTTCCCCTCTTCTCCACCTGAAGGATGGCTAACTCATCTCCTAAGACCCAAGTCACATACTAGATTCAGCCTCTTGGGGTGCCTCCTCTGAGTCTTCTGTTTTCGTTGTATTTGTGTTAGAATCCAGCCATGTCACATCACCTTTGGAAGGAGCACTGCTCAAGGGCAGTAAATGCATTTTATGACTTTGTATTCCAAGCTCCCAGCCTAGTGCTTGCACGTAAAGTGATAGGTAAAAATTTCATGAATAAATGAATGAATGTATTATTTATTGGTGCCAAGGAACAATAATGGCAGATTGCAATGATACGACATGTCACTTCTGCAGATCAAGGACAGAAGACATTCTGAGTAGTTAAAAGTTCTTAGCGGTGACAGAAAGTGACACATATGCAGCTTCTGGCCATTGCAGACCATTACCCTCCCCTCCAAGAACACCTCTGTCCAGACCCGTGATGGTAACACCACTCTTCCCTGTCACTGAGGGGCATCTACCTATGCAAAAATGGCATGAAGGATTTAGAAAATTAAATAATTTGTGTCTAAAGGAATGTCCAAATATTTAAGAAAAAAATTATTTTAGATTTCCTTATCTTTAAAAAAAGTGCCGGATTCTACTTGCTCATTTGCATACTCTCAGAACAAAAGGAGTTCTTTCCATCATGTCCATTCCTGCTTCCTACCATACATAATCCTGAACTTGAGAACAACTGATCCTCCTAATCATCCCAGGGGAAAAAGTTAGATCATAATTCGACAACTAAAGAACAATACAAGGGATGTCCCAGTGTAGCCTATGATCCAGTTCTAAGTGAGGACAGGAAGTACCTTCATGCTCTCCAGCGAGCACACTGTGGACCAGAGGGGTCAAAGATGAGTCACAGGGCAATTCCAAAGGGAGTTGCAGCCTCCAGGGGCCCCAGCAGGCTGGGGGCCAAGCAGAAAGCTCTACACGATATTTGTCCTGTCCTCAGCATCACAAAGAACTGATCTCCAGGGCCTCATTGCTTCCTTTGTTCTCTGGTCCCAGAACTGACTTAGCATGGGACCCGGCTCCCTGATGCCTGTTGTCTCTTTTCCGGGCCTCCTGCTCACAAGAGTGGGGTCTCTTGGGGAACCAGGTGCTTGGAGAACATCTGGAAAGGTCTTGGGACCATAGCCCTGGAGATGGAAGGGGAGCAGGAAGTCATCAGGAGGTGGTTAGGGGGGAGCTGTCAAGTGCGTGTGTAGGGAGGAGGATCTGAGGATTTGGGCTTGGCTGGGGGTGAAGGAGACCCTTAGAGAGAAGCTGAACCTGGAGCCCGCTTCCTTCCCCCCAGGAATGGGGAGGGCCAGGCCGTGGCTGCCCTGGTGTCATTATGTTACTGATGGGGGAAGAACTCCTTCAACATTGGGCAGAACACCTGGCTGAGTGTGGACAGGCCACACATTTCTACCTGGAAGTTGTGTCTTACCTCTGAGGGTCCTCATCAGTGGGGAGCTCTAGCGTCTGGCTCCCTCTTCGTTCCTCCCACACCAAAACCTCCGTTTTGTGAAATGCCCGGATCTCCACTGGCGCTCTTCCTGCCCTGGTGCAGGCTCGGTCTAATTGTGCTCTACAACTGCGGGGATCTAATTAGCAGGCGTATCGCTGTGGTCCTGGAGAAGTGGACGGGATCCAAAGGCTAAATACTACATTCTGCAAACAGTCTGTGCTTCACAGGCGACTCGTGAAAAGCGGACTTGAATAATGGAAAAATACATAAATTCTAACAGAAGAAAATAAATTTGTTTTGCTTGTGTTGAGGTGAAGGGCTCAACGGAAGTTCTGCAGTTTATTAATATCTTTTTGGAAGAATGGATTAATATAAATAGCTGTGGAAGGCTGCGGTGAACAAAACAGCAAATAAGAAAGACCTGGTGATCGTTAAGTCATGAATTGGGGGCTCCAATAGCTCCCCCCCTTTTGTATATGTTATAATTTCAACTTCTTATTATGCAAAGTTACCAATTCAAATTTATGATGCAAAGATATTTGTATGATTAATAACTTATTCTTACCATTTCATCTGTCTCCAAAAGGTGAAATATTTTGAAAGACTTAGTCTTAAACTGCTTTGACCCTCGATAAGAAAGATGTGATATAGAAAAAAAAAAAAAAAAATACCCTCCAAAATGATTATTTTCCAAACACCATTAAGTTAGCTAGGACTCTAGGAAATATTAACCGATATAAGCAATGATTAGTTTGCAATAGCATAACAGTTTTCAGCATACAGAGTAGAAATTTGCATATCCTAGAAAACATGTAGCTAGCCCTCATGTACTTCCTCTGCTCAGTAGAAAATGAGTTCCATGAGGGTGGGATGGGTCTCACTCTTCTTGGCTCCACAGCACCTGTTAGAGTGGCCGATACAAAACAGGATCCTCAGAACTATTTGCTAAGCTGAACCACTACAGAAATGAAGGAGTCTATAACGTCCTTTTTTTTTTTTCATCTTCACCCAAGGACATTTTTGCATTTATCTTCAGATAGAGCAGAAGGGAGAGAGGGAGGAAGAGAGAGAGAAACATCGACTTGAGAGAGACACATCGACTGGCTGCCACCCACATAACCCCAACCGGGGCCGGGGACAAACTGCAACCGAGGTACGTGCCCTTAACTGGAACTGAACCTGGGACTCTCTGGTTCGCGGGCCAGTGCTCTAACTGCTGAGCCAAACCGGCCAGGGCTATAACATCACTTTTGTATAGCGCTCGAGTGCAGTGGTATATACCTGTATTCTGGGTTTCCACTATCAAACTGTCAGAGATGCCCCTTCCCCGAAAGCAGAGCTTCTTGAACAAAACAGGTGTCCACAATAGTGATTTGTATGGTTTCAAATCACATTTATTGAGAACCTGCTTCCTGCAAAACCTTGTGCTTAATGTGATCACGATAGCATTCTTCATCTAGGAGCTCAGGTGGGGGTGCTGGGGGCCTGGCCTTGAGGGGGAGCTCTGTGGAGTGAAGGGTAAACTAAGACTGATGCAAATCTGGGGGTGTTGACAAAATCAGTGGAGGATGCAGAGCAGAGCAGAGCAGGGAGTGGAAGCAAATACCCTGCAGACTGTGGAACCACTCTTATTAAGAAAATGACGTTTTTTACTTGATAAATTGTAAAGCATTGTTTCCTGTGAGCATGCTTATGTTCACTTGAGGATTTATGGGCTAAATTTGTGAAATACTTCCTGCCATTTCTTACTGACATTCTCTGCTTAAATTAGGAGAACACTGTTAACTACAAAGGCTTACTTATGTAAACATATTTTGCCTGGAAAGATTGACATGGATTTATAACTCTGGAGAAATAGGAAGTTTCCAGAGCTCCTGCTGATGAACAGACAGTTGCTGCCCAGCTTTGAGGAGGTAGTATCACATGGGTTCCAGAGTGAGACCAGGGTCAAGCTGCCCTGTGCTGTTGGGGGACATGTGACCTTGGGCACAGTACACTGTAAAGTTGCCTTATCTTAAAATGGAGAGAAATACTACCCACCGGGCAAAATTATTGGCACAGCCTGACACATATAGGTTCCATTGTCTTATTGTTTTAAAGGTACATCGGTAGATTATGAGGTGGTTTTGGGGGGGAAAAAAGTGCTTCTTGAGCATGCTTGTCTACTCTAACAGGTAAAATAGTTGCTGTAAACGATGTGACTTTCCCCATTTGGTAACGAGAAGGTCAGCAGGGGAGTCGTTAGTTATTCCTTCAGTAATAATACCTAACAATTGTTGATTCTTAACTGTCCAGTAATCCTTTGAGGTCGAATTATTACCACTCTCATCTTTCAGCTGAGAAAACGAAGGCTCAGAGAGGTCGCCTGACCACCCCAAGTCACGTAGGCCAGGAAACCAGGGGGCCTGGCTCCAGGGAGGGACAAGAGTTTCCTCCAGCTCAGGGCTGTTCCCCCTGGCCAGGTCTATGCAGGCCAGCATCTCTTGAGGAACTTGTGAAAAATGACTCTGCTGCTATGTTTTGAGCTGTGGAGGAGGATCCGTGTTAAGGAGGCCCCCGAGGGTGCTGGAGCCCGATGTCTAGTGTTTGGAGCTCACC